TTTGTTTGCCTGTCTATTTACCAATACTCCTGTATAGCCTAGATAAAACATTTAAAGAACGCTAACTACCCGGCACCTCTGAAGGGGAAAAAAGGGGGTTAGATTCTGACTTGTGCCTACATTTACATATTACCCCTATTGTTTTGGGAGCCCTCTAATAACGGCCCAGCATCGCCTTTGTGTTAAGTTGAACGTTATTTGCCTGTTATTTACAGGACGTTGCAAAACCAGCCACAGCATGTTTTGGCTGTTGCGGTTTTTGAAGGCAAATTTTACCTTGAGGAATTTGTCTTTTTCGTCATCGCTTTTTTTGTGTTAAGACGGCAACTAAATACTTGTAATGCTTATGTGAAGTCTGCGAACACCCGTCCCCATGTGGGATGCAATTTTTCTTTATTTTGAAGCCCCACCCCAGCTGTTGCCGGGGGCTCCAATATAACACCCTAAGGGTTGAACGGTGTTTCTGCTACCTGTCCCTGTGTGATCGTCGTCCGAATGGTGGCGCTTTGTGTTACCGGGTACTTATCGCTGGGTGTCATGTCCTGATGGCGCTAAAGGTCAATAAATCAAGTTGAGGCTACCAGCTTATGTTGCTTAGGGTTAAGAACAAATTTAGTCATTCCGATATCCCAGGCCGTATTCAGCTGCAGGTGATTTGACGGTAGACTGCGATTCTAACATGTTACGTTGACCGTTTAGAGCAGTTTCCCGAACTTGTTAGTCGCGGCCTTTTTTTAATTAAAATTGTTCCACGGCGCCCTAACCTAAGTAAAAGTATGACTATTCCTATGTAAGAAAGAAGATAAAAACTGTTCTTCGAATATTTCGCGGCGCCCCTGTGAAGAGGTCGCGGCTCCTCGGGGCGTCGCGGCACATAGTTTAGGAATCATTGGTTTAGACCGCATTGGCCAAGTTATGGTCGTTACTGTTTGTATCTACCACGTTTGAATGTAGTACAGACTTGGGAAGGGGGAAAGAACGAAGCTTTTTTCAAAGGGTTGAGAATAGGGCATGCAGACCCGTCATTCTGCCCTTCGTAAGCTTGATGATTTAAGGCCGCTTGGTGAGTGCAGTCGCCATAAACTATGTAGGTTAGAGCTGCAAACTACTCAAAGTAGCCAAGACAAGCTGTATTTGATTTGCAACCTCTTGTAAGGGGATATTCAACTCACGTTTTAGAATTATGTTATAGAAAGACTTTTGTTGCTTAGGCTTCGCGATCGCGTTTCGTAACTGCAGTGTGACGGAATCGATCCCAGCTGTGGGTGATTTGACAGCAGACCGTTTTGCGTAGGTTTCTTTAGTCACTTCGACAGCAGATAGTTTAGAGGGAAATGGCAAACTACTGAACGTAAAATGACCTAGAGAAAGCATAAACTTTCAAACAACTATGGGTTAGTTCTGCAACGTCATGAAAATTATATGCAACTAAGTCACACTTAAAGAAAGATATAAAAAGATATAAAAAGACACACGAACTTTCAACTCCATTTCAGGTTCTAAATTTGCCAGGCAGAGAGAAAATCAACTTCAGATTATTCACAGTTATTGCAGCTCTGTCAGAGAAAGTGACACAACTCGAGTAAGTGACGTAAGTGTAAGATGTGTTAGTACGTGGTCGGTCACAAAACGTTACTTGATTACTCTTGGCATCATACAATGTTTTTTTGAAAAGCTTTCCCCCTTTTTTTCTCGTGCTCTCTCTCTCTCTCTCTCTCTCTCTCTCTCTCTCTCTCTCTCTCTCTCTCTCTCTCTCTCTCTCTCTACATTTCTCTCTCTCTCTCTCTCTACATTTCTCTCTCTCTCTCTCTCTCTCTCTCTCTCTATATATATATATATATATATATATATATATATATATATATATATATATATATATATATATATATATATATATATATCTCTATTTCTCTCTATTTCCCTTTCTTACTTTCTCTGGCGGTATCTTACTGTCACCCTCTTTTGTTTTCTCTTTAGATCTCTTCCTGTGGCCCTCTATAACTTTTTCTCTAGGTCTCTTACTGTCACCCTTTCTTTCTCTCTAGTTCTCTCAATTCGTCGTCTCTAACTTTCTAGATCTCTTACTGTCACTCTCTCTTACTTTTACATCTCTTACAGTCACCATCTCTTACTTTCTCTTTAGATCTCTTACAGTCACCCTCTCTTACTTTCGCTCCAGATCTCTTACTGTCGACCTCTCTTACCTTCTTGCTAGATATCTGTCACCCTCTCTTTATTTCTCTCTAGATCTCTTACTGTCACCCTCTCTTACTTTACATCTCTTACTGTCACCCTCTCTTACTTTACATCTCTTACTGTCACCCTCTCTTACTTTACATCTCTTACTGTCACCCTCTCTTACTTTACATCTCTTACTGTCACTCTCTCTTACTTTACATCTCTTACTGTCACCCTCTCTTACTTTACATCTCTTACAGTCACCATCTCTTACTTTCTCTCTAGATCTCTTACTGTTGACCTCTCTTACCTTCTTGCTAGATATCTATCACCCTCTCTTTATTTCTCTCTACATCTCTTACTGTCACCCTCTCTTACTTTACATCTCTTACTGTCACCCTCTCTTACTTTACATCTCTTACTGCCACCCTCTCTTACTTTACATCTCTTACTGTCACCCTCTCTTACTTTACATCTCTTACTGTCACCCTCTCTTACTTTACATCTCCTACTGTCTCCCTCTCTTACTTTACATCTTTTACTGTCGCCCTCACTTATTTTTTCTCTAGATCTCACTGCCACCCTCTATAACTTTCTCTCTAGATCTCTTACTGTCGCCCGCTCCACTTTTTATCTAGATTTCAGTTATATTATATTTATTTGCCATTTAGCACATGATACAAATTATCTTTATTATTATAGCGTACACAAACAGGGCGGATCTCCCTTTCCCCCCCCCCCCCAGAAAATTGTAAGGGAAATGAGTCGCTATCCCTCATTACTACTCCCCCTTCCCCCACCACCACCATCTGTCTTTATCTCGAGACCCCTATATGTAGATAAATCAGAGTCCGTACATTTCTTTTTCATTTTCTCTTACAGTCCCGTGATCAGAAAGATGATGAATAACTTTGACTACAATGCTCTGGACATCAAGATGGAGAAATGCAAGGTTTGTGTTTATGATTAGAACCACGTTAGAGTCACCACATTTGAAGTTTATTTTTAGTGCTGCTGTTTGTCACTTGACTCCCAGGTCGACTCAGCCTAGAGTGGGCACCCGGTGCAGTTCCGGGAATTAAAGGCGGCCGGTATGATGCTGACCACATCACCCATTCTGTGCCGATTGGTCTATAAAAAATATAGGTCTAGCCCTATATGCCCTAAAGGAGTGGAAAATTGAACTTTACTTTTTTTTTTACTTACTATTTGACACTTATGCCAAAAGGACATATGCAAATTTCTGCTGCAAAAGGGTCACACTGAAGTATTCCTTTAAACACAACTGCACCATTGTCGAGAGATCTCAAAGTGCAACCCTTTGGGCGTAGTTAAGTTAGTTGCGGATCCTTTACAGGACGTTGCAGAACAAGCCCCGGCAATTTTTTGCTGTTGTGATCGTTCTAGGCCAATTGTACGCTCAGTAGTTTCCCATTGCCACTCAAAAGTAGGCTATTGATAATACTGTCGAAACTAACGCAAGACGGTCTGCTGCCAAATCGCCACCAGCTTGGATCGAACCCGGCACCGCGGCATTACGAAGCCAAGTTCGCAACGCCTAAACCACAGACACCGACTTTAGCGTAGTGCCAGACAATTATGTGTTATGCAAGGCCAGTCTGTGCGTGTACGCGTAAGTTCTGCCGCTGCGTGTTTTCTGTGTGTGGTTATGTATACATGTCCATTTTTCTTTTTCTTTTCCCCCTATGATTCATGTCTCAGGTATTAAGGGACATTAAGTGACTGGGAGAACCTTTATTCGGAGGAGAATCGAACAGTGGCAAATACCTGAATCTCCTTTCGACGGTTATATTAGGACACTCGATGTTAACGATGTAACATGTAGTCCATTAGGAGTTGGTTTCTTGAAATGTACAACATGAACACTTAGAAATTAAAACTAGTGAGGCGACCCCGCTAACCCATCCCCCCATAGAGGAACACTCCCTGTTTGAGAATAATGAAAGTCGTGAATTTGATTATCATCATCAATCAGCAAGTCCTTTACAGAACATCGCTCTCTTCACGGCACACCTGAAAGTATCCCTTTCCCTAGCTAGCTCTCCGGCCCCATGTGCTTTCAATGCCAATGCATCTTCAATGTCTTGTATCCATCTTCGCGGTGGTCTTCCTCTGCCTCGTCTTCCACAAACGGCATCCTCCATCACCGTCTTTTCCAAGCCACCATGACAACTAGATACATATTTTTCAAAAATGCATTTTTTTTCGCATGTGTTTTGAGAAGAAAGAGACCCGAGAACTCGGTAACGACTGTCAATATTTGTCAAAAGAGAACAAAGGCAAGGCAAACAGAGAAATACATCGATAAATACATTATTTGGATGGCGCGATAAAATAACACTGAAAAGATCCGTACATCTGAAATGGTGTGAGAATGCGAAACATGACCGCTTACGTTTATCGGCGCGGCACATAGTGATAATATGCTAGGCAAAGGTTGACCAGTGACTCAAACAGAGCAGCTTTTCTGTTAACAGGCACAGCGTAACCTAGATACGTCTGAGAATGTACAAAGAGTTGAAGCTGCTAGGTAAGGTTAGGGTTAGTTGCGTATCCTTTACAGGACGTTGCAGAACCAACTCCAGCAGCTCCTGGCTGTTGTGTGGTTTCTCTAGGCAATTTTACCTCCAGTAGTTTGCCATTGCTTCCTGGACGGTCGGCTTTCTTGATACCAATGTCGAAACCATGGCCCGCAGCTGGGATCGAAACTGGCACCCCGGCATTACGAAGCGTTCGCATCGACTTAGCCACAGAGCCGACAAGCTGTTGGTAGTACACTTATTATTCGACCATCCACTGTTATAGCTCAGTTATGCTAGTAGACAGAAAGTTGAATAAGCCCGGCTCTCTAGCGAAGTTGGCTAAACCGGATTGTGCGGTGACCGGGTGACGAACTCTTTGTGGTCCGGGTTCACTCCCGGGGGTAGGCAGAAAAGCCACATTTCTCCCAGAAGTACGGTATTTGCAATGGAATCAAGGCCGAAAGGTTGTGATATCTATAATACCGAGCCTAAGGGTTAACAACTCATGGCTTCTAGATACTAAACCAAACAAACAAAGTTGAATAAGGATGAGAAGTCATATAGCACGATCGAGAAAGAATGTCTTTGTCTTTTATGATCGATGCAAAAATGTCAGCCATATTTATATGGCAAGAAATTTAATGTTAAGTGTGATCATCAACATCTTATATTTTTTGCCACATAAAAAATTGAGATTTTGAGGTTTTGAACAACGGATCAACATCACGGCACAAGGGAAGTAACCCATAAGTGCTCGGTTCTTCTTCTAACTCAACCTGAGTCCGAAAAAGCTCAGCACAGTGCACAGGTTCTGTAGCACCGGCGAGGATCCTGAAATACTTTGGGTAGATTTTTAACTCCAAATTTTGTCCGGGCAGCACCGTTAGGCTACTCTTTTTGATTTCCAACTGCCACTCGATTTTTTACGTGCGCGACAATGCACACGGGCGTCCGATCTCACTACCCAGAGACCAGTGGGAATTACTATTAGTCCAGGTCCACGTGAAAGAATCCCAGCCCTTATCGGGGATAGAACCCAAAACCTTAAGCACTCGAGGCGGACACCATGCCTCGAGACCACGCAGTCCCCTAAAAAGAAAAAAAAAATGAATACTAGATTAATGAGATGGTTCCTACTGCTACAGCCATATTCTTTTACAGTGGAATATATTCCAGGAATAATGAATGTTGGAGCAGATTTTTTTCCCGTGGAATGCCTTTCATTTATGCAGCCGTTGTGTCGTGGTCTTCAATATGGCCGGTAGTTGGTTTACGTGTGAGCTGGTGAAATACCTTATGTTATAACCCGACGTGAGTATAGCTAACTTATTGTGCCCGAACTGGCTGGCTCTGCACATCTTGATTGAATTTGATGCATGATAAGGCAGACGTGGTTAGTGCCTTGTGGGAGAGCGTGTACAGTTCGGAGGAGCAGATGGATTACCACAGTCTGATGAGATTGATGCGGGGGGGGGGGGGGGGGGAAGAGAGGTTCTGGCAGATGCTCGAGGCATAGAGGAAAGGCAAGACAGTCGTTTTATCAGAATACTGCTGGCACCATTAGTATCGGAACTCTTCACTGGCTGCTGGAGATGGGATCGGAGATCTTATGGGAATGCCCCGTCTTCTGTGATGTCGGTTCTTGAGTCAACTCAACGCATTGTGTCCGACTACTTTCGTCAACGACAAACTATTTTTGTGTGGCTACTGTTGGCTTCGGCGGCTCTAGCTGCGTGCACATAATTCCGGATTGTTTCGGGACTAATTGTTTGTTTTTCATATGCGACAGTGAGAGACATTTCATTTGAATTTCACTGGCGCAGGAACGGAACAAGTATGGGGAAACCCGATTGCAGCGAAGTTGAAACCTCGACTAAGACTAAGACTAAGTACTCTGAAATTTAAATGGGCATTTAAAGCGAGAGGAGCGTCCGTACCCATATGGGACTACAGGCTAAAGCCATTTCAAGGGAACTTCAACGTTGATCTTCTCTAACAAGCCATGGTTTCCTAGTACTACATTTGTGTATTGACGAAATAACTGAGTTGAATGATAATATGCGAAACACACGATAGGTGGCAAAACGACTCACCCCAAACAACAAATGTAACTCACTAGCATCTGCACACTCGCATAGACGAATGAATCTTAAACTCCGTTTTCAACTGTAACTTCTTTGGTGGTTAAACGGGTATCTGAGATCCACCTTGTAAGTCTGAAGTCTAGATTGAGATTTAATAAATCTCATGATGATGTGATAAACCTTCAAGTAGCAGCGTGGAGGGATGTGGGGTGATGACGATGATGTTGAAATGGCTAGATGAAAACTAAGCCTGGATGGTCGGCACTCATTGTGACGTAGGACAAGTGTATGAGTGCAACCAAACGACGAGGTGTACAGCATTATAATCGAAAGCCGACACGTCATAGAAATTTGAACATCAGCATAGCGATGCAACGACCAAGTCTAGGGAACAATGAAGCAGGTATGATTTCCCCAGTGAACGGCGCGGACGGCCTTGAGCCCAGCCTGAGACCTGATGCCAATGGGTAACTGGGCAACCCAACAACAATGTAACCAACAACTTCAATGGAACTTCAACATTGACCTACTCAAACAAGCCATGGTCTCCTAGTACCACACTGGTGTATTGACGAATTAACTGACTTGAATGATAATATGCGAAACACATGGTAGGTGGCAAACCGACTCAACCCAAACAATAAATTAACTCACTAGCATCCGCACACTCGCAGAGACGAATCTTTAACTCCCTATTCACGTATACCATTAGCCATCAAGTACTATAGGTCAACAGCCGGACCTTGAAACATTAATGGTTTCTCCAAGAAGTCCATATGCAGCCCAATACTGATGAACACGTCTACGGGGTTACTTCATATTTATCCAGCAGTCACGCTGAGCTAAAACATTCGTATTCGATATTTGTAATAATTCTGCATCATGCAGATAGGCAAGGTACGCCCCTGGTGAACAAGCTGATTTCTCCGTGAGGTCCCGGGGTAAATCTTCCCTTAGGGTGAGCCTCACTAAGACATCCACGTCCTCCTCGTGGAACTTCTCGACTGCCATTGCTTCGGTAGGCATCACGTGCCTCTAAAGCCCAGCCTTGAAGCTGATATTCCTTTGAGATCCACCAGGCCGGACGACACGTACGCCTTCCTGAATTTCTTGGCAGCAACTGCTTCCAGCTGGATCTTCTAGCAACCATACGTTAGCTTGTGATGTCTTATTTGCCTAGTCAATTTTGGTGTGTTTTATTGCGCGATCTACACGTGACAAGGGGACACATTGATCGATCGAATGAACGAAAGGATCAGCTTTAGTGCATCTAGACTTATTCCGTATGGCTCGGTCTGTCACCTAAGAGAGGCTGTTCACCCGCCGACAGCTTCACAACAAGCATGCCATCTCCGAAACAGCTGCCCTCGAGAACAGAAGGCGGAGGTTCGAAACCGAACTCACGACTTTCAGAGAGCGAGGCAGACCCAGGCTTACCCACTTCGCTAGAGTCCCAATAAGTTTCCATATAGCATACTATTAATTACAAGACTGTTAAGTTATAGTTCAAGTCGAGAGGATGGTCTTCATTGCGCCGGGTTTTCACCCACATGGCTATGTCTCTGACCTCAAAATCGCTAGCCGCACTCAGAGCGAGTCGCACATAGTACGAACTCCGTAGCGCTAGCAACGATCACCAGGGATTCCCGTAAAAACTGAACTAGTGGACAGAACAACATGTCCGTGAAAAGCACCAAAGATCATCACATCATGACGACGTCGCCATAGGGACATCCCCTTACCCCCCCCCCCCCAAGTGTTTATGGGGCAGTCATTAATTTTTTTTTTTTTTTTTTGCGTGTTGTATCTCTTAGGAACTCTTTGGCCTCCTGGATATGGACCACATGCCGCAAGGGGCGGCTCAGGCGGAGAGTTTGGCCGTTGAGCTGACAGCTGGTGGCCTCAAGCCTGAAAATACTCGATACGTAAGTGAACCAAACACATACGGTATTTATGGTAGGAAAGCCAGAGGTCGACCATGCAGAAATATGGACAGCAGCTTTTTAAGAGATGTTTGTAAGTACTTTATATGAAGCGGACAGAAGGGCACCTTCCAGAGATCTCTTCCTGTCCTGACTCCAGGAGGCAGTCCAGGAGTAAAGAAAAGAAGAAACAGAAGAGGAATTATACATGCTAGTGGTCAGCAATTTTTGGCTCAAAGATTGCGAATGCAGATTCATAATCCTGGTATACAGGGATTCTAAATCAGCAGTAATCGGTAGCTTACTGCTTTGTGTTTACTGTAATAGTGACATGAGCGTTGAAATTATCAGACAGCAATGGCAAACTAGTGAGTGAACAATTGCCTAATCAAATCTCACACAGCCAACAAATGCTGGGGGTTGATTTGTGAGATCAAAACAAGATATTAACAATACCAGTGATTTCAGCTAAATCCATTGATAATCTACATACATTCCAGCTATATCTATTGATAATCTACACACTTTTCCAGCTTTATCCATATACGCAGATATCTAACTATATTCATTTATAATCTACACAACATTCCAGTTATATCCATGCGTAATGGGTAATCTTAAACTTCCAGCTAAATCCACTGATAATCTTTGGAAAATTCCAGCTATATCCATTGATTACTTCAGAAAATTGCAGCTATATTTGTTGACAATCTACACAGGCATGTAGCTATATCCATTGTAAATCTACACCTTGTCAGCTTTATCGACTGGTAACCTCAACGAACTTCTAGATTTATCCATTGATAATTTACACATCTAGATTTATGGACTGATAATCTACACAATTTTAGCTTTATTGATTGATAATCTACACAGACTTCTAGCTTTATTCATTGATAATATAGACATCTAGATTTATAGACTGATAACCTACACACTTCTAGCTTAATCCATTGATAATCTAGACATCTAGATTTATAGACTAATAATCTACACACTTCTAGCTTTATCGATTGATAATCTACACAGTCTATCAGCTGTATCGACTGATAATCTACACAGACTTCTAGCCTTATCCATTGATAATCTACAGACTTCTTGATGCATGACGTGCGTGTGTTTTGTTTAAAATCCACGACAGGTTCTCAACAAATTTAACAGAGAAAGCAAAGGTGCCATTGACTTTCTGGATTTTGTGACCTACATCCCTTTGTTTGTGGAGATCCATAAACGAATCATCCAAGATCCACTCAAGGCAGACCTGGATTTGTAATCAAATCAAATTTTAATATCTGTATGCTATGAAATAAAACAGTTGTCATAACTTGTGTCGGATTGAACCAGAGCAGACTGAATTGTTAAGTGCTTTTGTTATCGTGTGGATAGACCCAAGACATCATCTATTCATCGCCCTGTACTATTTTGATCGTTTATCTTCACCAACGTCGTCATCATGATCATCATCATCATCATCATCATCATCATCATCATCATCATCATCATCATCATCATCATCACCATCATCAAAGATTAGCCAAGCCTAAGACTGGTTTTGCATTCAGTTGTCCCTGTTACATTATTCTATGGTTTTGATTAAAGTAACGATTTCCCATGTCAGTTTCGATACTCCATTGTGGGGAAAACAAGAATAGACCTACTACCTTCCCAACAAGCATGTCACAGAAGTCGACTATTTGAGGACTTTCTTCGAAATCAGAGTACATCAACCCGAACGGCAAGGAAGAACCAACCAAACAAAAATAAGCCAGTAAAACGGGTGTACACGCAAAACTAAGTAAGACCTTGGCATAAAGCCAAAGTCTCAATGGACGAACAACCAAGACTTTCCGCCGGAGATTACATCCGTTAAATAAAGAAGAAGAAAAAATAATGAGCAAGGTTAGATAGGTTCAAGACTGGATTCGGTTTCAGTTGCTCATGTCACTCCACTCTAATGATTTTTATTATGATCATTTTAGTTTCCAGTCAAAAAAACTTGAAAAGATGTATGAAAGCGATGAGCATGTTGCACCCACGTTCTGAAACAGGACTAAGGCCTGTAGATGGACAAACACCTAGAACCTTCTCCTGTTGTCTACAGACGTTGAACACGAAGAAAAAAAGAAGAAGGATTTTATTTTTGTCCCCGACAGAACCCACCATCTCCCCCCCCCCCCCAACTCCCACCCCCAAATTCATAACGTTACTGTGTATTCGAAACCTGTCCTCGCCCAGGGTTATGCAGCAACATCTCATTCAGCTGTTTACAATGGTTTTAAATCGGAACACTCTGCCACTTGATAAAGTAGTAGATGAGTCGATACACTTGGCACTAATAAACCAGACCATAAATGTAACCTAATGCTGCTGAACGCCGTCAGTTTTAAATTTATCGTCCTAAGTCATGATGACATACTCTGTGGGTGAATGGGCATAGTGTCTCCCAAAACAAGCATGTCGTAAACGGCTGATAAAAAGCAGCTTGTTAAAATCGAATGTGTTGGGCCAAAAAGAGCAGATACCACAGCCTAGCCCTAAATGACAAAACAACATGTGAGCCACTATTTTAAGGGTCAAGGAAGAGGAGGGGGAGGAAGAAGACGACGAAGAAAAATTCAAAGAAGAAGAAGAAGAAGAAGAAGAAGAAGAAGAAGAAGAAGAAGAAGAAGAAGAAGAAGAAGAAGAAGAAGAAGAAGAAGAAGAAGAAGCAACAGAAGTAGAAGAAGACGAAGAAGAAGGGGGTGGTGATGATGATGATGATGTCACACATTCTATAGGTTAGTTAAACATAGTTGCTTATAAATTATGTCCGTTTCTGGACTAACCCCAGCAGTTGTTGATTGCGGGCAATTTTAGTCTGCAATTTTATATTCTGGGGTTTCCCACCGAAATCTTCATTGTCAATGAGCATATTGGTCACCAATGCTTATTTTATCTCCCCGCATGGGTTTCGGCGTCCAGCTTGAACGAAAATATGAATAGACCCACTGACACCCAGCAGATGATGTTATAAAAAGGAGTGCTTTATTGATATCCTACCCCAAACTGGGAAAATCCTAAGGTCACGAGACAGTCTAATATTTAAGGGGGTGGTAGATAGGCTAGTCGTGGGACCTAGGCTGCACTCTCTAGTGGGAGGTAGGTGGGTTGGGGTTAGGGCCAGTTCTAGATGTTTTGAGGTCTTTAAACGTATAAAAAAGCTGGGAATCCCAGTCTTACCACCCTCTGCAATGTTTGACTATCCTGTGGCGTCATCTAGGGTAAGATAATAAACCTGTAATTTTGCTGAACGTGTGGTCTATCCAACGACAGCGTCTTTTCATTATCTTGTGGTCCACTTGAACTTGTTTTAGTGATTCTATCATACAATTTAATTCCCCACGTGTGGAATGTTGCAAATATCACATAGTTCTAAAACTCACAACATGTCAACTGACCTTTTTATGAGCCAACACAGACGAATAAGAAATGTATATAGTTATCCACATGGAAGCAGGGCTGTTTGCTGTCAAATTATCGGCAGCTGAAGACAAACTGGTTTGTCGGAAATATCAGACTTCACTAATAATCTCTTAGGCACAGATTGATTGCACACATGTCAGTGGGCATGATTTTGAACTTTGGTTCAATGACACACGAGACACAACCCAGAAAATTACAGATTTTGTCCAAGGACAGATGAGTGACAACTCAGGCAGATCTCAATTTTTATCCAAGGTCACATGAATCGCAGCTCACGAAAACAAAAAAATTAGGTCAAGGACACATAAATCACAACTCATGAAAATGAAAAGTTTAGGTAAAGGACACATAAATCACAACTCACGAAAAAAGTAAAGGTTACGTCAAGGTAACATAAACATAAACTCATGAAAATTAAAAGGTTAAAACAAAGACGCATAAATCACAACTCATTAAAAAAATATAGGTCAAGGCCGATCTGCCCCTCTCTGAGAGACTTGGAAAAGGTATAAATTCTGTGAACTCGCTGAATAAATTATAAACACTTACCTTTCGCTTATCTTTTACTTTATCGTATTTAAAGTCAACAGTGCGTATCAAGTTCTTCCGGTTTTCTTTCATGTGCTGATTATTGCATCCTGTTGCTTCATCGTTTGTCTGAGGTATGTATTTAGGCCATTCAAAGAAGACATCTGACCTCTTCTGGTATTTGGTTTACGTATTAGCCCTACCAGCTGCTTATGACTAAAAAATAAAGCCGTTACAACTGCCGTTTTGTAATTTTCTGTTCCCCTCTGGTAAACTGTTCTTCAAAAATACAAAGCGGGAAGTAAAACGGCGCACTTGCACAGACGCGCCGATTACTAGACGTTTGTCTCGAGAGAACGGACAAGCCAGATGAGATGTTTGGTGCAGAAGTGAACTGTGACAACTAATCATTCCCGTGAATGGCGGATGGCCTTACCCTAACCACATCCTGGGACAGCGACACGGGATTACTGTCCTGGACGTTGATTTGCCTGATCAGAGTTTCATCATTTCAATTTCAGACCAGTATATCAAGTGAGCGTCGGCTCTGTGGCTTAGGCGTTACGAACGCGCTTCGTAATGTCGAGGTGCCAGGTTCGATCCCTGCTGCGGGCCATGCGCCTTACGTTGGTTTCGACATTATGGTATCAAGAAAGCCGACCGTCCAGTTGGTTCTGCAACGTCCTGTAAAGGATACGCAGCTAAACTAAGCAACGAAAAAAAATGTGTATGATTGGGGGTTGCATTAAAGGGTCGCCGGATTAGGAAGGTTGAGAAAGTGCTGGGTTGGTTTTGCAACGTCTTGTAAAGGATACGGAGTTGTCGGCTCGGTGGCTAAGTCAATGCGAACGCTTCGTAATACCGGGGTGCAGGGTTCGATCCCATCTGCGGGCCATGCGCCTTGCGTTGGTTTCGACAGTGGTATCAAGAAAGCCGACCGTCCAGTAGGCAATGGCAAACTACTGGACGTAAATTTGCCTAGAAAAAAACACACAACAGCCAGGAGCTGTTGAGGTTGGTTCTGCGACGTCCTGTAAAGGACACGCAACTAACTAAACTTTGTCATTGCTTTCTGGAGGGTCGGCTTAGAACCTAAGACTGGGGAGGGGGGGGCGGCGATGAGATTTTATATCCCTTAATGGAGCATAGGCCCTCAACCAACTCACGTCAAGTGTTTCTATTCTTCGCTATTACACGCAGCTCCCGCATGTCCTTCCCATCTTCTTAATCTAACTCTCTAGTTCCCTTCTCTAATTTTTTTCTTCCTTTTTTTCTATGCCCCTGAGGGTTCCAGTGCATAGACATTCTAGTTATTTTGTTCTCAGGTTTTCTCAACGTGTGGTCTATCCAACGACAGCGTCTTTTCATTATCTTGTGGTCCACTTGAACTTGTTTAGTGATTCTATCATACAATTTAATTCCCTTTGTTCTGCGCAGGCATCCGTTAGTGAATTTTTGTAGGTTATTAGCAACTGTTTCAGTTCTGTTGTGTTTCTGCTCCATACAACGGTACTGGTTTATCATGAGAATTAAACGTTTTAAATTTAGTATTATTTAAATTTCTGTTGACCCCCACACATTCCCAAGTACAATGAAAGCTTCTATTGCATGTTGTACTCGTACTTTAATATCTCTATCAGTTCTCCCATCTTTATCTACATTATTTCCCGGCTCTCTAGCGTAGTTGGCTAAACCGGATTGCGCGTTAAGCGGGCGACGAACTCTTCGTGGTCCGGGTTCATTCCCGGGGGTAGGCAGAAAAGCTACATTTCTCCCAGATTTACGGTATTTAAAATGAAATCAAGGCCGAAAGGTTGCGATATCCATAATACCGAACCTAAGAGTTAACAACTCATGGCTTCTAGATACTCAAACAAACAAACAATCTACATTATTACTCAAAAAGATTTGTGGCTCTACGTTTTGAAGTGCAATACCATCAGAAGGAAACAAATATTTGCCTGATTTATTCTCATTATCTTTGTGTTTACCTAGTTGTGATCTTGTATCAAGCATAACTAATTTATCTTGCATCTGATTCCGTGAGTGGGACAGCAGAGAACTATCATCATAGGGCACTACAATTAACTGTGTGTGTTATCATCATCATCATGTAGCAGGTCCTTTGCAGAACGTCGCTCTCATCACAGTCTGATAAAAAAAAAACTCGGTCTCTCGCCAGTTCTCCAACCTCATATACCTCCAGATACTCAAGGAGTCACTTATATGCTGTGCCCATCTTTGCCCCTCCTTCCTGGTACCATGCCTTCTGCTATAAATTTT